CAAGAAGAAAATTTCATATGACTAAACGCCTTCATAACAAACACAAAACTACGGAGAACTCCGAAAATCTTAAGATCACAAGTAAAGAGTACAAGAAAACAATGGATAGATTGTATTAAAGAACATATTTTATCTATAACCTCAAAATTAGAAAAATCTACAGAAAAGTAATATTAAAGAATATTGGAGAATTTTGAATAGCTCGAAGCCTAGATGTTAAACTGAATTCGATTTCAAATCAATGTAGGATTTTTTGAAAAAAATTAATGAATCTAAAGATAATGAAGTTGTTGATGATTATAATGTCAATCTCGGTAATAACTCTCCTTTAAATTGTCAGATCTCTGCAGAAGAAATCTTGCAAGCAATTAACAAACTAAAAAATAATAAAGCTCCAGGAAATGATCAAATTTGAAACGAATTTATAAGAACAACAATATAAAGCTTTTTGCCACTTTATGTTGATACGGTGTGTTCCCCGAATGGCTACTCGGAAAAAACAACAAGTAATTATCACACTCAATTAAGGGGCCCTCTAAGGGGTACACGTAGACTAACCTGTGTTTACCTGGATAGGCAATATTTTATAAATCAGATATATTCATTCAATTTTATTTTAATTAAGAGGTTTTTTTTTATTTTCCGAAATATACTGAATAAAATATAGATAAATTAATATAAATAGATAAAATTAAGATTTAAGAAAAAATAAAATTTTTAATTGTACCTTTAATTTTATTTTTTCCAAACTATTCAATAGTATTGATTGAGAATTTACAAATTATTATCCCCTTTTTGTGCTACATTTTCAAACTCTTTTAAATAAATTAACACAAATGATTTTTTTCTTAAAATAATAAAGATATTTATGTATGATAAATTGTTTTTATAAAGTTTTCTCTAATTTAATTCATCTATTTATCATTTTTAAATTATTAAAACATTTTTTAAATCATCATACAGAAGTTTATATTTCAATTTTTAAAATAAATATAGACGATTGAAGATAAAAACAGACCACTTTAATTTTTAAGGAATTCCTGAGTTAATATAAGCTAATTGATGAAGCATCTGATAATTGATATCAGTTCACTTTGAATTTTTTAATAAGCAAAACTATTGTAATAAGTGTCAAAGAAAAATGATGTGCTGAACTTGCCTAATGATGCAGTCCAAGCTGTAAATACAAGAACAACACAAGTTACAGCTCAGAATATATACATCCCTTATATGGTCCTTTAGTTGTGATGAAACATATGGAGATAGAGTAAATAAATTGAAAATATTGTAAATATGTGTGATATGAAATTGAAAAAGTGTTATTTAATATATAATGCGAAAATCAGTGCTGCTAAATAATAGAACTTCAAGATAATTTATAGTTTTTAATGTGTTTTGTGCTTGTAAAATTATTTATTTTAAAAAAAAGTATTCAAAATATTTATTCATACTAGTGCTCAAATAAAAAAAAAATGGATTAAAAATCCATTTTATTTTATGTGAATTCTAGTCGATTATTCATACAGGTAAGTCTACCTGTACCCCTTAGAGGGCCCCTTAATTGAGTGTGATAATTACTTGTTCTTTTTTCCGAGTAGCCATTCGGGGAATAAACCGTTGATACATTGTATTTTCAATGTGATTTTTGATACTGGTTATGTACCTGATGAATGGCTCAGTGGTATCGTTAAGCCAATATATAAAAACAAGGGTGACCCAACTCTTCCTAAAAACAATAGACCAATAACATTACTAAGCTGTTTAAGAAAAGTTTTTACCAGTATTTTTTGTGAGCGTTTGAATACGCTTACTGAGGAATTAAATCTGATTACTAAAGCTCAAACTGGCTTTAGAAAAGGATATGGTACAACAGATAAAATATTGATATTAGATTTTTTTGTGTAAATTTGTCTTGTTTAGTAAGAAAAAATCTTTATTGTGCATTTATTGATTTTAAGCAAGTCTTTGTAACGGTATGGCGAACTGGTCTGTGGTCCAAAGTGTTAAAAAGGGGGATAGATGGTAAATGTCTAAGATTTATCAAAAATATGTATATTGGATCCCCCCAAATATTTTTGTACAGAGAAGCACCAATTGAAATTGTGAACGAATTCAAATACTTAGGTGTAATCATGTCCCGTAGTGGCTTTTTCAAAAGTGCCAAAACACACTTAACTAAACAAGCTTCAAAAGCAATGTATGGAGTACTTAGAAAGATAAGGTATTTTAACATGCCAGTCAAATAGATCTTTTTGACAGAGTTATAAGCCCAATTTTGTCGTACGGGTGTGAAGTTTGGGGCTACGAAAACATAGATATCTTAGAAAAGGTACACTTAAAATTTTTGAAATTTGTTTTGCATGTTAAGTCCAGTACCCCAAATTGTATGGTGTATGGAGAAACTGGGCGATTTCCTTTAGGTACGAATGATTACTTACTGGGCTAAACTTTTGATGTCACACATACAAAATGTATTGCTTTCTTTACAAACTCTTTTCTGTTCAAAGGATCATTTATGCACCCATGGTTGAAATGTATGAGACATCTTGAATTCCTGTGGTCTGTCCTATGTCTGCATGAATCAAAATTTCATTAGTATTACATGGTTTTAAAAATCTATTGTGAAAGAAACGTTGTTAAATTAATTTTTACAAGACTGGCATATGAGCATAGCAAACTCAGCTAAATGTTTAAATTACAAGATTTTCAAAAACAATTTTGGACGAGAAATGTACTTGAGTAAACTTCCAAAAGACTTAAGGATTGTATTAACAAAATTTAGAACTTGTAACCACAAACTTCCAATCAAATCTGGAAGATGGACTAATACTGATAGATCTTGAAGATTATATAATTTATGTAGCAAAATTACTTTGGGTGATGAATTTCATTATGTAATGGAATGTCCATATTTTTCGTCTTTACGTGTAAAACTTATTGATAAGAAGTATTGTTCTCATGTAAATACTTATTATAAGTTTGAGAAAATTATGTCCATCACAAATGTTGACTTACTGTTAAAACTGTCTTTGTTTTTCTAAAAAGATATTGGCCTGCTTTCAGTAACTTTTTTCTTATGTGACGCTCCTCTTCCTTACTTGACTTTGTATTTTGTACATAATGTAAATATGTTCCTGTACCTCATATACCATTGTATGGTCTGAGAGTAAATAAACAAACAAACAAACAATTGATCTGTTCTGTAATCCTGGTGGAAGCTCATCTTGGCAGACGGTTGCTGTGGATGTTGATTGTGTGGGATGATTGAATTTTGGTTTGTTGGCTGGTAATATTCTAAGGATTGTTTTTTTTCATGGTTCTTGGTAGGCTTTCAAAAGGACGTTTCCACTCCTTTGGTTTTTCGGCCATTTCTCTGGGATTGGTGCTGGTGAATATCAAGGTTTCTTTAAATTCCGTATCTGGATGATCTTTAGCGATATGGCGTTGAACTACATCTTTACGGCAGTAAGATTTTTTTCACAAATATCACAGTAGTATCTGGTTACAATCGGATTATGTTGAAGTTCATTGTGCGTCTTGAATTTGGTTCATTTTTTTTCGTCGTAATCTAGCTATGCATTTAAAACCAGTTTAAAAATATTTCAAAATTCTTCAAAAATCCCTTCATTATACATTCAAGGAAGTTGTTGAATAAATATTTGTTCTAATATTCTGTAAACGTCTTTGATTCCATATTAATTAAACGTTTTTAATATTGAATACAGTATTAGATATCGTTTATAGGTACAATTACAGATTTTGGTCATTTGATTTCTCATTGTTCAGATTTGAAATTTTAAGTCATATTTTTAAACAAAAAATGTTATGTTATTAAAGTATTTGTATCTAGGATATCCAGTAACTATCATTGATCCACCATTGGTGATTATAGCTTGGGTGTCTTGATGATTTTCTATAATTCACAGTTTACCTTACATGTACTACGAAATAGAAAGTATGACATGCCCAACGTTGCAATATTCGATCTTTTCCATTTGTATTGTATTATTTTTATTTGTATTCTATAATATTCCATTTTTCTCTGATATTTTTTTTCATTTGTATTGTATCTAAAGGGTTGTTTATATTCTTCGTTACGAAGGATTTCATTGGTCAAATTTTAGTCTGTTGTAGTAAAGAAGCAAGATATGTTTTGGGTGAAGTGGGCTCTTCTACATGTATTTGCGTGGATGCCAAGGTACATCTCGGGAAGGGGGGAGTAACAAAAAAAAATCTGTCCAAACCGAAAAACTCTATTTCTTTGGGGGGTACGTGGGAAGGGGTAGCTGAGGTACCAGTCAAGATCAAATCATTTATTTATTAGTCAACATTTCTAGGACAGATAAATACTTAATTACCATCTACCAGCGCTCTATTTTCACCTGTAGGCCAAATCTTGACCATTGAAATTCTTCGTAACGAAATGAATAAACATTATCCTTGTATACAATCCAAATAAAAAAAATATCAGACTTGGGAAAACCACGCATGATCCCAAGGAAATTGCTCGGGCCGACCATGTTACAGTAAGCAAGATTATTTTAACCAGATTTTTGAAATTGAATTTGAAACATTGCTTCGTCTTTCAGTGTATTGTGGTTCATACTTATATGGATCCTTAACAATTTTGTTTTTTATGCAGGTGACCGTTGAGGTTCTTGGGCTTCTTGTATACATTTAAAAGGCACAGTCTCTAACAAATAGTTTTTTCTTCACATATTCATTTTCCGTTGACCTTTACGAAAATAATCATTTCTTTTTTTTTCAAATCATACCTTAAAGTGTAACAAACATGGGTTATTATTACATTAGAAAGGATGCTAAATGAATTACACAATGTATTTTTGCATTATATTTAAAAAAAAAACAACAAATATTATCGCTCTTTTCAGCACGAAAAGACGTCGATCTAAGGTGTACCTCAGTATTATTATTGGCAATTAGATTGATCAAGCATATGAATCAATTATCTCTGTGATATATTTTCTTGACTTCTACAGGTGACCGTATGTTGGACACTGGTATTCCTCAGTATGACTTGTCTGAAATGTACTTTACAACTCGGGACAGAGATAACGACAAGTATAGCTATGGTAACTGTGCTGTGGACTGGCAGGGAGGGTGGTGGTTCAACTTCTGTCACCACGCCTACCTTACCGGCCCCTGGTCCTCGCCAGGCTGGCTGTATCCATGGAACCCCGCTGTAGAGAGTGGGGAATCTGTTAGAGGGACACTGATGTTGATCAAAAGTCTTCAGGTAAAAACATCATTCAGAGGACTGGGTCAATCAGAACTCATCGGATGTTTCGTGAACTTAACAATTAATATATAAATAATGGACTAACAATTAGTATGAAAAACGTCAGTCAGCATGACTCAATGATAAATTATTTAATGAGTAAAATGAATAACTTTCACCGCTTAGTTTTTAAATTTTTATTCAAATTTTCACAAAAATGAGATTTAAAGTGAAAAATATTTGTATAGATTAATAAGGATGGTTTAAGAAGGGCAAATTTTTGAGGCGGGAGTATCATTAAGTGAGCTCATTGCTTACAGTTTTATAGGGTATAATAGCTGCGCTCTGTATTACACATGCACAGTGTGCTGAATTCGAACCGTACATAAATGATTGATCATTTACAAACACTAAATGCAACTTGCTTCTCGTTTAATAAATGTTATTCAAGTGTTTTCTGGCCGATTTTGAAGATTTTTATCACGTGCTTGTTTACTATCGTTTTTTAAAGCGTTACGCTTTCCCAAGACGGTATTACAAATGTTGAGCAGATACGCATATGTTTCTTTGTACAGTCGATGGTTGATAAAGACGACAGAATCAGCCGAGGTTTGCAGAATGGACTGGGTAGTTGTGTCTATTTTCAGACTAGATTTTGATATCCTTCACAAGAAGAGCTCCATAAAAATGATCAAATTTGAAAACTAAAAATTTTTCTTTCGATTCGCCAAATGATAGTCGACAGCTTAAGATATTATATAGTTTTAAAAATTTGTTATATCTGATGGTTAATTTATTGACCCCACTCCCCTTATACTAGTATCTTAATATTGACTATTTACTTTTCCATAAAAGTCTTAATGGGATTTTAGAAAGTTTGGATGAGTAGTAAGCTGTCAGATTTCTGAAACAATTTTTTATTCTCTTTTTTTTTTTTTGCATTTTCAGTAGAACGGATGTTTAGAGATGTGAGCTACCTCAACTTGATATCGACCCATCAATCATTTCTCTTCAAAGATGCGCTTTTAAATTTATCATGATCATTTTTTTTAAGTTCACAGAGAAATATAAGGAATGTTTTTAAGTTTAGTGTGAATTAATGGTGTGTGAATCACACAGAATTCCACGTAGGCATATTTTTAGCTCTACTGGTCAGAAGAGCTTATGCGATAGTAATGCGTCCGTCGTCCGTCCGTCTGTCTGTAAATAATTTTTCAAAATGCCACTCCTACTACAGCTTTAGTAGGATTTCAATATAACGAAACATACAAGTAGACTACACTAAGATAAATAATTCTGTATATCGGTTTTTGATTTTGATGAACGGGGTTGCCGTGGTTACAAAAAATAGAAATTTCTTTGAAATACTTTTAAAATGCTACTCCTCCTAGAGATTTGGTCTGATTTCAATTTAACTTGACACAGAAGTAGACTACGTTAAGATAAATAGTATATCTGTTTTTTTATTTCGATGAACGGTGTTGCCGACGCAATTAAAAATAGAATTTTCAGTTAAATACTTTTAAAATGCCACTCTTGGTAGACTTTACTTTACCGGTCCCCAGATCCGCAAGATCCTCGCGCTCATTGGCGTAACAACTGAAATGGGTTAAATTTGCACACTATTCGACTGATTAGGGTTAGTCTTGCACCCACCTGAGAGATTAGGGTTAGTTTTTGCACTAGTATTCAACTGATTAGGGTTAGTTTCACATCCATCCTAGAGATTAGGGTTAGTCCTCGCACATTATTCGACTGATTAGGGTTTGTTAAGCATCTTCCCGGGAGATTTCGTCTAAACGTCTTAGTCCTTGCATACCATCCGAAGGATTAGGGTTAGTGACTCGTTCTTTTAGATAAGTTAAAAATTTCAGTTGTTTCTGTAATTTTTCAAGATCATTATTCAGCTTCAAAGGCATTTTGTTCGTTTATTTACATGGAAGAATGGGTAAGGCCGAAAGAAATGCCACTAAGCATGCGCCGCACGCGCTTCGAGCAGAATTATTCGTTGTCGATTTTTTCCATGAATAAACAATATTTATTATTTTTTCGGAGAACGGGATTAAAAAACTTCGTTTAAAACTTAGGTTTCAAACTAAACTTTTAACCGTAGAATTCGTTTTTGTGGTCAAAAGGCCAAAAAATCCCTCGTATTTAAATTTTTTTTCTCGCATCCATCTTTTGAAAATTGTTTGGTTGCACTCTCCTGACCGACTGACTAAAATGACCCGACTCAGAAAACTTTTTTCAACATTCCTGGGCACGTGTTTTCTTTTAATTCCTCTAATCCAGATGTTGTCAAGTATGTTGAAATTTTCTGCAGAAAAGATTTTCCCACCTACCTGTCGACCCAACAATTTTACCAAGAGTCGGGAGAGGGCAACCAGGTATTATCTTAAAGATAGCCTAAGGTCATTTTGATTTTGCCAAATGTTGCAAAATGTTATTGTCAGTTATAAATTAATAACAATAAACCTATTGTTTAACATATGTTGTAATACATAGAGATTTATTTTATATAAGCAGAGGCCTATATATACCTAGGTGTTTTGAACTATTATACATGTATATAGTATTTAACAGTAGTGAAACAAATTCATGCTTATATATATATTAATTTTGTTGTATAAAAAATTGACATTCTGTTGTATTTGTATTCATATATTATACTAGTTAGGTCTCTATTTTTCCTTTAAAAACTTGTAATCATTTTCAATTCTTACTACTGATTTTCAGAACCCGATCCGAGGAATTGCCTACCTCAAGATACGAACTTTAATGACATTTTGTGACAAAATATTCTCTTTATATTGAATCATCGTTTGCTTGTGTATAGTGAGTTATACATGTACCCCTGTAAGCATTTCATTCTTTAAATGAGAAATTATCAGCAAATTTTAAATAAATTAATATAAAAACGTATAACTATTTATTGCCTGATTTAAACAATGCTGCAATATGTTTCGGTTGTATTTACATTTTTCTCATGCATAAGACAATGAGTCTATTCAATTTGGTGCCTGGAAACAGCTGATGATTTTCGGTTAAATGTTGGTCAAAAATCAGTCAAAAATGTTTATATTCTATTAATATATACCATCAAAAGGAAAAATATGTTTTAAAGACAGTCTCACAAAAAAACTTATTTTGATAGATGTCATAAAAGCGACAATTTTCAATCAACTGAAGTAAGACTGAAAAACGATTGAAAAAATTGATTGAAAAATAAAATGTTCCTCCTATAAAAGTTTAGAAATGGGTTTTCTGGTTCACTTTAAACTACACTGTAATAATAATGTTATACTTTACAAGGGAAAATTGGGAAAGACAATTTTATATTCTAATAGAGTAATTGCCACTGCTAACTTATAAAACATTGCAAAAATATCCTTGTATTATATAATAAAAATTTCTTTATCTAGGTCAAAATATAACATCACTCTATTGTTGGTCAGTTAAATTTAACTAACATATATGATACTAAATGACTTATCTAAATATTTGCGCACAAGAATGACATATACATATAACGTGCAACAGGGGCGGCTGATAAGACAAAAATTGTTCCAAGTGAATCATTAGCAATGGCGATCGTTAGTTTTGTGAAAGATCTCTTTTCAGCATTGTGTTGTGTGGTTTATGTCAAGGAGGCACATTGTGGAAACATTGAAAAGCGGTTTCTTATTAACAACGGGAGCTCAGTAAATTCTCATCTCCAAGATTTACAAAGCAAACTCTTGGATCTCACATACAAGTATATGGCTCAAGAATCCACCATTAATGAGCTGAAGTCAGAAGTTCTTTTAACCAAGACTGTTAATGGTAACCAATCTAGAGTCATACATGACCTTGAGGTCAAGGTCAAAGCCCAGGAAACTTTAATTCGAGATCTCACCACAAAATCTCAGACTCAATCATCGACTATAACAGTCATAACCCTTAAGTTGCTCCGAGAAAGCAATAAAAATGACGACAATGCATTACGTATTCAGTCGCTGTCCTCTAAATACCAAACGATGACGACGACAAAATCAGGTAAATTCTTCATTTATCATTTTAAAAATTTTACTTTTATGACTTAAACTGACTGTCTATTTATAACCTAAAAAGTGAGCAAAAGATAGCATATATTCAGCATTATGTTTTTGGTTTAGGTGGCGCACTGTTTGGGGAAGAAAGACTTGTCCCGACAATACAACGGACCTTGTATACTCAGGTACATATGTAAAAAAAAAAAAACCCAATGCTTTATTTATGTTACAGTAGATATGTCCAATAAAAAATTCCATTTGTTTCATGAATTTTAGGAAATATCAGAAATCCCTATTCTGTGTAGGAAATATGCGATTTGCTGATTTCAGTTAGAAAGAAAGAAACGCATATTGTTTTACTCATCAAAGAAATTTTGAAAAAAGTATTAGGAACAACTATCTTTTATATCATTGGATACATGTGACCTATTTTAAGTACAACATAGGCTATTAAACCCGAATTATTTCCCTTGAATAAGCATGATTATGAAAATAGTGTTTTATATGATTTCTTGTAAATCGGGGGGTCTATATTCTTTATAAAAATATTTGATTTTGTGAAGAAAATTTTAAAATAACACGGTTTCCTTTTCTTTTAGGGTATGCAGGTGGGTCTAAATATTCCAAGGTAGGCGGACCTGCTAATTTCCTTTGTCTTGTGCCAGATCCAGATTTAATTCCAGATGTAGGAAGCGGTCAGTATATCCATGGCGTGGAATATGATCACGGAATAAGCGGATCAAAAGTAGGACAAAATGATCTTTGTTCAGTATGTAGAAGTAGAACCGAGGAGAGCACACTCATGCTTCCAGGAAAATCGTCTTGCTATCCCGGATGGAAAATGCAATACAGAGGCTTCTTAGCATCTGGAAATGAAGCATTTAAATCTTCCGCAAATTACATCTGTTTGGATGAACATTCAGATCAATGGCAAGCAGGAGATGAGGTGACGTTGGACGGAAAACTCCTGTACACCGTCAGAATTGCGTGCGGTTCTCTGGCTTGTCCGCCCTATCATAATGACAGAGATGCAACGTGTGTTGTTTATACCAAATAACCTTCAATAAAATACCCCGGTAAATAAAAGGAATACATCATTGTAAAGCACCAATATAATTCCTTTTCTACTGAGAACATTTCTACATGTACTCGTATACTTCTTGATTTAAAAAAATCAATAACTGTAAAATCAATGTAAAATTATTTTGGACCGAATCCTATATATCCCTGACTAACTGAAATGACCCTACCCCTAAATGACACAAGAACAACAAAAAGTACAGTGAGATCTTAGGTTGGTGTCCTGAGTAATGGGTTGTTACCAGGCACGAAAACAGGACATTGAAGTAAGAAGGCTAAAAAAATAGGCTTGGTACCGCCTTCAGGCCTTCAGAGTCCATGGGCCGAGTTAACATCCCTTGGTGATCGTTCACACCCGCCGTGGGCCCTACATGTATATGCTTGTATGTTTATCAGGTAGACAGAACCTAGCGTAGTTATTGAAACCAACTGTTTCAGACATTTTGACGATTTAAAAAAGAAAATCATACCAGAAAATAAAAGAATAACAAGACTGCATCACGATATTTGACCTTTGGTCTCTCAACATGACTTTGTCCTTTAAAGCACTTTTTTATAACAAAGGTCAATTAATTTTGGCATTATATTATGCTTTTTTTTCTGGTGTACTTTATACACGAAAAAAATTTAAACTTGTTTTATATATTTACCTCTCCCTCTCTCTTTCTTTCTCACAACAAACGGATCTATGTTTCATATGAATACAATGTGTTTTTTCATGGAAATTAGTATGCATACTACCATGTGATTTTCTCTGGATTCGGAAATCTACATTGAATATAAAAAAAAATATTTCTGGATTATAATGTTTATGACCATAACTATAAAGCAATTCTTAAACATCATTTAAACTTGTCTCAAAAACTAATGTAATAATATTATTAAGCAATATTTGAGCTGCCAGGCAAAACAACTGTAACAGTTGAGTTTCTGAATCTTTAACCAGCAATATTATCATTATTGAAGTAAATTATTGAGCACTTTATGCTTGGAAGTTTAAATAATAAGAATTTTTCAGTGAGAGAACACGCTAATTATTTTTTCTTAATTTTATCTTTCAGTATACTTTGAAATCAGTTATTTTCATGGGGTCAATATTTCGAGGTTTGAAGATAAATATTGGTTTGATCGGATTTGATTTCGTGGTTGGGGAAAAATTGAGAAGTTATGTATATATAAATAAATTTTTTGGTGGACATAAGTTTGTTGGTCCCTTCATATCTTGAGTACAATGAAATAAAACCATAACGAAAATAAATTGCATTGTTAAAAAAAGGAATTGGATACTGCAGTCTTTCCATGGTTGTTTCTTAGGACATTTTTTTTTCAGATGTGTCATTTTTGATATATTATATAACAAATGATTCAATTTAACTTTCAATGAAGAATGAGGAAACATATATATATGTACATTATTTATAAATTTTAAAAGTGACTTTTGTGATATGAAGATAACGAACAATATTCAAGATCAAAAGTCCATAAACAATACAAAGTTGGTGAAGACCAAACACGGAACTCCAAAACATAAGAGGAGTGATCAGGTGCCATGGAGGAGTGAGCATCCCCTAGTGATCTTCATGAGTATTTTCAATTACATGTTTAGATTACTCCTGATTTTCAGAACCCGCGGAATGGACTACCCTAGGATACGAACTTTAAATGTCATTTTATGCCAAAATATGCTCTATATTTTAATCATCGTTTGCTTGTATAAAATGAGTCATATCCTTGCTGACATTTTATTCTTTAAATGAGAAATTATCAGTACATTTTCAATAAGGTATATAATAATGTAAATATATTTATTGTCTGGTTAAAACACTGCTGCAATATGTTCCTTCTGTATTTACGTTTTTCTCATGTATAGATTTAAACCTTATTTATTAACTTAATATTTTTATGCTATTAACCCTTAATTTAGATACAATTGAGAGAAAATGAGTCAATTCAATTTGGAGCCTGGAAACAGATGATGATTTCGATTAAATATTGGTTAAAAATCAGTCAAAATTCTATATTCCATTATATTCCATTTATATGAAAACATATGTTTCAAACATAATCACAAAAGACAAAGCAATTTTGAATAAAACAATAAAAACAATAAAAAGGTGCGACAATTTTCAATTAACAGAAGTAAGACTGCAAAATGATTGAAAAATAATTGAAAATTAAAAAAAATTCTTCCTATAAAAGTTTAGGATTGGGTTTATCTGTTTCGGTTTAAACTAAGAATAACTGTTATACTTTACATGGGAAAAATTAGAAGGGCAATTGTATATACTTGTAGAGTTATCACAAATGCTTTATTATAAACGTTTTAAAAATGCTCTTGAATAATGTTTTGTTCTCCATTACTTAATCTTGGTCAAATCATAAAATCAAGAATTCTTTTTATCTATAGCACACATGTATGATGTCAAGAACTGACTCCTGTGTCTAATTCTTCATCATTTTACATACTCAGAGCTCTGCCATACACTTAAACCTTCCATATGCGTAGAGCTTCTTCAAGGACGCTGGATAAAGGATAGACCTTTAAGATTATTACTTACTTTATTATGCCTGCTACCCCTTTAGGGGCAAAGACAAATGAAAAGATTCCTCCAAGCCCTCAATCCTGAGCAATGCTTTCTATATCTTTCCAGTTCTTGTCACTTGAATCTTTTACGCCTGGCTCCATTATGCCTTTCTGTCTGTTATTGGAAATATAATATTTTGATGTCATATAATTTATTAAATGTATCTTTTTATATGAACCATAATTAGACATTTTTAAAATTGTGATTATACGACTCAAAATACCTAGACACTATAACAGTAATTCATGAAATAACCTGTAACGTTCTTGATATTAAAGTACCAAACCCATTTATACGTTCATGCTACAAAGGGTTCGTTGGCACGAAATTTATATATTAATTAGCAAATCTGAATTCATATGTTTCTACTGTAGATACGTTTGCCTTTCCAAATTTTGATATTGAGGTACAAAGTCAAGTAAAATGCTTCATTTTACGAGTTTCTTTAATAATTATTCATTATTAAAATAATCACATGAGCTACATTACCCGTACCTAGGCAGAACAAAAAATCCGCAGAATCAGCAAGAAATTGATAAAATATAATTTATAATAAATATTTATAACTTAAAGGTTAAGAGCATGAAAAACATTACTTATAAAAAGCGTTTGGCTAACAAGTAATTTAACAGAAGTTCGAAAGACTACTTTGGAACTACAACTGCAGCCAGATGTCGTTTTCCTTGGGAGTATATGCATTTCTCATCTTTTCAACGTACTGTTACGGCGCTGAGGTAATTCTTTTAGCTTATATAAGTTTTTTTATCTTTGGTACGGTATATTGTTTTTTCAAAGTGTAAGTGATCATGAAACTAATAATAAAAATCAATAAATGTTTAAATTTGTTTTGAAAAAATGAAGAAAAATAGAGGTGTGTAAAACTTTTTGAATATTCCTAAATTATGTGTTATAATAAATTCTATGCATAGATTGGTGTATGCATACCTTTGAATTTGTGGTAAATGATATATTATCAAATCTTACAGTTTTTATTTTATATTTGAATTCCTATGATGTTCAATTTTTTTTTTCATTTCTCTTGAAATTCTAATATTTTTTCTATAATTTTGTAGATCTTAATAGATCTTAATAGATCTTAATAGATAATGATAGAATTGATAAAAATATTGAATTAAACGTATATATTTCACTCATTAGACCTCATTTTGTCCTTGCTATAAAAAACTTTGCATTTAAAGATTGAATTTCTTATTGATAATTTTCCTCGGAACATGTGTCATTCTAGATTTCATCTTGCCGCAATTCCTTCATCATTACAATCACTTATCAATTTCAACAAGAAATCAGTACTTATTTTAACTGATGTAAATAGTCGATTTAAACAGGGGTCAATGTTTGCATTCACTGAAGAAAAAAAAATCCCGGTTGTGCATGCAAAGATTTTATTATTTTTTTATTCAAGAATTTAAGGAACTTAACAGGAAACAATAAACTACTAGTATGTCCTGGACAAGTTTCTGTACATCCCTGAAAATCACGTTTTATAGAAAATATCAGATTAGAGCAATTTTATAATTTGGTATTAAACACCGCCGGTGTGCCCGGTTGGCAGGGGATGCTCACTCCTCTAATGATTTGGAGGTCCCTTTTTGCCCTGCTCCTATTTTGTATTGATTTATGGACTTTTGATCTTGAATACTTTTCATTATTTCCATATGTTTTGAAGATAGATTTTACCATTTCTTTCATTAATTCTTTATAGAGTAGGATTTTTTTTTTAGGTCACCTGAGTAAACTCGGGTGACCTATTGCTATCCGTTTTCGTCCGTCGTGCGTCGTGTGTTAACATTTGAACATTTTCAGCTTCTTCTTTGCAACCACTGAACCAATTTCAACCAAATTTGGCACAAAGCATCTATGGGTGACGGGGAACAAAAATTGTGAATTTCATGATCCCTGCCCCCCTGGGGCCTGAGGGGTGGGGCCAAAACCACTAAAATTAATGCAATCTTTAAAAATCTTCTTCTTTACTCCTGGACATCAAGCAGTCAAACTTTTGGCATGATTGTAATCAGCATTGAGTCCTCTACCAAAACTGTGAAATTCATGGCCCTGAGGTCGGGGTTCTAGTGCTTGGGCGGGGCTAAATAAGTATATAGTGAAAATGCATTATTTCTTTGAAAATCTTCTTCTCTGCTCCTGGGTATTAAATAAACCAACTAAGTACATAGTTATGATGATCAAGAGTGCCTCTACCAAAATTATGAATTTTATGGCCCCAGGGTCAGGGGTTCTGGTGTTAGGGTGGGGCTCTATTAATTATATATAGTGAAAATACATGATTTCTTTGAAAATCTTCTTCTCTGCCCCTTTGTATTAAATAAACTAACTAAGTGCATAGTTATGATGAGCAAGAGTGCTTTTACCCAAATTGTGAATTTTATAGCCCCAGGGTCAAGGGTTCTGGTGTTAAAGGGGTGGGGGGCTCTATTGATTATATAGTGAAAATACAAGAATTCTTTGAAAATTTTCTTCTCTGCTCCTAGGTATCAAATAAACTAACTAAGTGCATAGTTATGATGAGCAAGAGTGCCTCAACCAAAATTGTGAATTTTATGGACCCAGGGTCAATGGTTATTGTGTTGGGGGGGGGGCTCTATTGATTATATAGTGAAAATACACGAATTCTTTGAAAATCTTCTCTGCTCCTAGGTATTTAAAAATAAACTAACTAAGAACATTGTTATGATGAGCAATAATGCCTCTTCTAAAATTTTGAATTTTATGGCCACAGGGTCAGGGGTTCTGGCGTTAGGGCAGGGCTATATTGATTATATAGTGAAAATACATTAAATCTTTGAAAATTTTCTTCTCTGTCTCTGGGTATGAAGCAGATGAACTACCTAAATAGTTATGATGAGCAAGGGCCCTAGTCTTGCAGAATTGTGAATTCAAGACCCCAGGGTCAGGGGTGGGGGAGGGCTCTACTTATATACTGAAAATGAATTAATTGTTTGAAATCTGCTCCGTTATATTAATAAAACATTAATATTTATTTTTTTTGATAGGCAATTTTAAGGGTGCCTTTTTAAAATTTGTGCAATGTGTGGACCTAGGGTCAGGGGTTTATGTCACAGTGTTAGGGGCACTACTGATTATTGCTGAATATTACTGATTAGTTGGAATGTAATATTGTTCCCCTGTCCTGCATATGGGTATTCAGTAACCAAGCTAAGCAACTGCTAAGTGTATTCTTATGATGGTCAATGGTCCCTCTTTCAAAATTGTGAATGCTATATAGCATCTGGATTAAAACATGAATCAAATTCAATAACTGGAAAGTTGTTGCATAATGCTCAGGTGACCTATAAGGCCCGTGGGCTTCTTGTTTTATTTAAAATTTAAAAAAATGTTCTGCTATGAAGCAGTTGTTGCATAAATGCTAACTACAGAGTAATACCGTTAATACATTTTCAGATTTACGGAAATAAAAAGATACACGAATCAACCTTAAAGTCTTTATTTGAAAGAAACATTGGTAAGCGCCTGTTATAGTTATTACAGTTACTATAATTAATGATACCCGCTTTAATTATGTACTGGTATTTAAATTACTACGTACTATTTACCTATTTTCTTGATTTTATATTATTCTTTATTCCAGAGGAAATTGAGGCGATTGATATTTCTAGCTTAAAAGAGGTTGGCCATGATAATAGACGGTAAGAAAAATAACACCAAATTTATTTGGTCTATTCATCAATTCAAAAGATAAAAACTATATTAAAAAAAGCAAAGTAGGAAGTGGGGGCTAATAGGTCCTCTGTAGGGAACTAGAACTTGTTTTCTCACTAAAATTTTATTTAAACATTTCAACAAGTTTATAAAACGAGGATACCAACATGTTAATGTCATCATTTTGTAAGTTTTATGCTCGATACGTACATACTAATATATCGTACATCCCATCATTGAGTCAAATATTGACTAGCGTTTTCGTACTTATTATCAGGCCATTATTGAAACTCTGAATTGTCTGCGAAATTTTCGTTTTTCCCGATCACAACAAGGAACATACGGCAGAAGTGACCGGTGGTCAGGGGATGCTCACTCCCCATGGTACTTGATCCTACCTCTGATTTTTCTGTTTGCTCTGCTCCAAATTGGTATTGTTACATGGTACTTGAGCTTGAAAACTGTTCATTACCTCTAATTTCATGAAACCTATCAGAGGTTGCATTTTATCTATCTTATCGTTGCCTTGAGTGTCAATAATTGGCAAATGTTATTAGAAATGGTTTCTTTTTTAACCATTAAACTGTTTTTTTAATTAAGATTCACTTTTGGAAGAAAATAAATAGAGGGTCCCTGTTCATTTAGAGATTATTTTCCTAGAAAGATGAACTCTTTTGATATTTTTTTGAAAAACAATGAGCGTGACTATCTCCACAAAACTTTATATTCTATTACGTTTTAGGAAGCGTTTAGTGCTTTGAGTCTTCAAAACTATCTGCTTTTATTGCAATTTTGTATTTGTAAATATGTAGCTTTGAAAATATCAAATTCAAGATCATTTTTTCTTTACTGTGTATTTTACTGTAACGAAAACGCTCTTTTTTTAAATTAATAGGTCAAATGTCCGAAGTACCAGAGGGTTATCACCAACAGAACTCAGCCTGTCAGCTTTTGGTGAGGATTATCAGTTACAAGTATCTAAGCCGGAATCCGTGTTACACCCGGAAGTCAAGATTGTAACCAGGAATGAAGATGGCGACCAAGAGTGGAAAGGAGTAATTCCGGATTGCTTCTTGGTCGGTCACGTGACTTCACACAACGGAACTGCTTCCCTGTCACATTGTGAAGGCTTGGTAAATTATTAATTTACGTATTATGCTTCTTATAAAAGACGCAATACTACAATCCAATTCATAATTTGTGACCAATTTCTACAGGAATGTTTTCATTTGTGCAGCATTTTTTCTCCACGAAAACACTGTAAATCATATTTTGGTTTTACTTTTATTAGCATTTTAAAATCTTTTTTGCAACATTTTTTATGTTTAGAAAGGAACACTAACCACGCCATCTGGAGATTTTCAATTGAGAGAGCTACCCAAAGTTCACAACAAAAGACTCCATTTCTCAGATGAGGATACCGTTCTTGTGGTTGGTAGAATGAGACAGAGAAACAACATGGGAGGGACAGGTGTTAACGTTAGAGGTGACACAATATCTATCATTTATCATATATTAGAGAATTGACTATTTCGTATTCCCTTTAATTTATCGGTAATATAATCCATCGATTTTTTTTGATTGCTACATATACTTTACCGAATATATAATCTGAATTTCCTACTTAAAATTTGTTAATAAGTTAATCCAATGAAAAATACAAGATACGTAATGCAAAATTTTTTTTTTTTACAAAATCTTGTTAGATGTCAGTCTATCTGCACTGGATGACCAAATAATAAAACTAAAGGACAAAAACAGAAGACAGACCACCACAAAGGATGTGGTTGTTGAACTGGCAGTGTATACAGACAGCAAATACACAGAAAGACTTCGATCCAAGGACACTGCAAGGAGAATTGAACTTATGATTGTTAAATATAACGGGGTATAGAATTTCATAGCTTGCATATATTAAAGATTTAATGATAAAAAAAAATTAAAATTCATTTTTAAAATATTTACAGATGTAAAAATTTTCCTAATAAATACCTATTAGATCAATCCATATTTAAACCTATTATAATTACAGGTTATTCTCATGACAACATAGTTATTGTTTTAAAAGACGTAAGCTTATAGTGAAAGCGTATGTTGCCATCTTTTTTATTTTCAAAATATATTCAACGTATATTTATTTGCCGTTTTTTGGAATTTTATAATTTACCGGTATTTCGTTTAAAACAGTCATAAATGTAAGGATAATACTCAGATGTGAGTACTTTAATGACTTACCTGTATTCGTTTTAAACTGTAACATATATATATATAATTTCTCAATTACCTGAATAATACAAGTTTTAACTATAAATGCTAATCTCCTTTAATTATGATGTTTGCTTAAATTGATCCAGGTACAGATGGAATATTCTAGATCGGATGTTCTCGGCTACAATGTAAAAATCCAGATTAAATATTTTGGTTTTTGGGAGAAGGATCCGGTAATGATATTTTTCTGAATTTCATCAATCATTCATTTTTAAATATATATTAGTATAGATCTCATTTTCAAATTTTGCGAGAATTAAACTGAGCAAATTATGACTTTATATTTACAGTCCTTTTATTCTACACATTATCACCTTGGGAACATCTTGGATTCATTTTGTGAGGGCATGCGCAAGAGTCCCATAAATTACGATATCTTCTATATGCATACCGGGTACGTATATGTATTTCTGAATGAAATTTGTAGAATACTAACTGTAATCACTATTAAAGCTCAAGTATGTTTTCTTTTATTATTCGTGCACTGGTCAGGTGACATGTATTCAGGTACTATAGTATTCTATATCCGTCTTTGACCTCGCAATCCCATAAAGCTTTGCAATTTTTTTCAAAACCACTGTAACTTTCAACTACATTTGAAATAAAGCATCCTAAAGGTGATTCAGTATTTATCGAACGAAAAACTAACCATTGATAAGGAAACATAAAGATTAAAAAATTTAAAAATTAACAATCTTTTTTAAACAAAATCAGATTAAAATTAAAAAGGTGAGCGTCGTGGTCAATGGGGTTTCTTGTTTCTCGCGATTCGTTATTCACTAACTTTCTCCTTCTATGTTTAGCAAAATCTTTAAGTCACAAAATGTCACCTGTAATGAAAGCATTTTAATTACTAATGTCAAATCAATTGCTTGTAACCGGGTTAATTAAAGTAATTTTCATCATAGAACTTAGATATTAGTTAATCAAAGATTACGAAGTTCATCTCGACGAATGTTATCTATAAGGCAAATTTCACATATTTTTTCTACTTGTGTGTATTTCAAATTCAATACCCAAGCAAATGAATTTGCTCCAAGAGTGAAATCTGTTTAATACCTGGGAAATAACTAGTTAAAAGTTCGAAATCTGGATCAAGTTGTTTCCATATTTATGTAGTAATATATTACACTATTATTACATCATTGGTAGCTGTCGTTTATTTCTCCCTATTTCTTCGAGTAGTCACGAGTATTCTTTAAGGGAAATCAATTTCTTAACCTAAACAGAATTCTGAAAAATAAAATCAATGTTACATTGATTTTAACAATTTTGTTTAAAATCATCATTTTGTAAAGTATTTTGACGTTGTAATTATGTCCTTAATAGAAAATTTAACCTACCAATTGAATGGTTGTATATTCACTGACTTGTAAAATCCTTGGCAACAAATTACTCCTTTATGCAATAGACAGGGGATGCTTAGTCTTCCTTGGTACCTGATCCTACTCTGGAGTTTCTAGTTGTTTTTTTCTTTTGGATCGATCAATATCTTTGCAAATGATTGTTCACTTACCTTTTAGAGAGACGCACACTAACGTTAATGGGAATGCCTTTCAGGCTTCTGCTTGTAATCCACTTTACCATTGTGGTATCGATAATTTACCAGTATTAGCACACGCAGGTACAGCCCACGAGCTAGGACACAGGTAAGAAAGGATTGATTGATTGTATGTTGTTTAATGACCCTCTCTAGAATTTTCCACTCATTTGGAGACCCCACCAGTTGCCGGTGGATAGCTGCAATTTGTCCTTTACTAGGCACTCGGGACTTTTTCGTGCTAGTACTTACTGCGACACGGGACCTCGGTTTATACGGTCTCATCCGAAGGACCGGTCTCCACGTCCCACAGTGGCATTGGGAGTCAAATCTGCGAATAAGGATCAACTCCTTTCTCCGCGACACTAGACCAGACGCTCTAACCTCTGCACCACGCGAGCGATGGTAAAACAAGAAGACACAACATTGTTTAAATAATAGGTTTGGAATATTTGCATTCATTGAAAGCAGGGAACAATGTCATAAAGGGTGAGAAGACCAAAACAACCCAAGAGATACAAAAAATACGGAATGATTATTTTAAAAAAATATGTTGCCATTGTTTAGTTAATGTGTATGTACTGTTCTCGTTTTATTAAAAATACACTTCTATATAAACTGTATATCACTGAAAGAAACGTATTAATATTTTTTTAACATTTTAAGTATGGGAATGCGGCATGACGATGAAGTAGGATGTACCGGAAGTGACAGAGGTGTGATGGGAGGAAAAGGGACAGGCTGGAGTTCCTGCAGTATCAGAGACTTTGATAAATTTCTACAGTATGTCTAAAAATGAACTGTAATAGATTTTTATATACATGCTAGTTAGTTGAATTATCTTTCTTTCATAAGTTTCGATCTCTATATATATCCGCCGAACTATATGACCTTAAGTTAATATGTTACATTTTCTCTCACCTTTAAAGCCGCTTAATTAACCCGAAACAGGCACATATTATCTTATACAATAAAAGTACTTCATTACATAGATAATATATAAAAAGAAATTATAAGATTGATTTAATAGTTTATTACAACAATCCTTACATGGAAAATGCAGATCAAAAACCTTATTGACAAGCAGTAGTTCCTAACGGAAGTTAAGATCTGTTGTTAAGTCAATTTTGAAAAAAATAAGTTTATCGGATATATCTAATAATGAAGATAATTCATACCCGAGTATTTTTTTTCTCTATTACTGTGAGTATAAGAAGCCTTAGTCATAATACATCTTTTCAAAATTAAGAAAATAATTGAACATAGTAATTTTTATATTGATATGCATATTTAAAGACTAAAGGAAGATCAGATATTTAAAATAATTTTTTTGAAAGGAGCTAAAATATTGTCCGTGTACAGGTTATATATGTACTTTGTTGTGAAGAAAAAATGCTCCGGTTCGTTCTTCATGAGATAAACATGTAAGCGATAAATTTAATTTTTCGAAGGTGATTTAACGCAATATCAACAATGATCAACATAGGATTATTTTTTGTGTGACCTAACAAAAATTATTTTTTCAACTTTTGAATTTTGATAGCTTTTAAAAGAAAAGGACTTTGGTGACATAATTTGACAAAAGTTGAAACAATTTATGGACAATTATTTTTCAAGAAGAAAATCGAATATATATTTTTAGCGATTAGAATCGGACCAAGCGGCTTTAAGTTTTCGATGTTCTCCATTTAGACAAAGCTTTCGCGGTCTACTCATGACTTAGGCAGAGATGAACTGAATGCAAATTCTTCTTGATTTCAGAAGTGAGAAGGGCCAGTGTTTGTTTCGCAAAGATGTAACCGTCTTTGGTCCCCTCACACCAGCGCTTCCTGGTAACACCATTCTTACGCTTTTACATGTAACTTCCCCGGACTGTATGCTCAAGAATGTTTTTACTATCACATTTTGTCTGTCGCCTATCTGTCTGTCTGTTTACTTTTTCGACCTCCTGACCATAACTTTTGTGCCAATTTCTACCAAACTTGCCACTAAGGATTCTTGGGTGAAGGGAATGGTAATAAGAATAAGGAAAAATTTGTTGATGCAGTAATTGCTTTTTAAAATTCTTCTCAAAAACAATATGGCCGAACAAAAAATTGACACTGACCTAAAATGTGGCCTTCTACCGACGACATATTGTTAATGAACAATGGTTACATTGTATTTCCATTCTTTTGTCAATACTTGTTCGAAATATCCCGGTGTACCTGAAACAAAACTAACTACAGAGACTAATACATCTTACTTACCTATGAGTACGTATGAACAATTTCTAAAACGAGGTATAAATTATTAACAAACAAATTGATGAAGCCAAATTTTGACTGACGTTTTCTTACTAATTATAAGACCATTATATATGTACACTGAATTGCCGATGGATGTTTTCGATATTTCCCGGACATGGATCACATGGCGGCTGTAACTATTTGGTTCAGAATGCTTTCTCCTCCATGGCACCTGATCCCATCTCTAATGATTTAGAGGTCTGTGTTTTCTCTGCTCCTGATTTGTATTGTTTAATGGACTTCTGAGTTCGAATAGTGATCGTTATCTCCCGATATTTTATTCCATCAATCCTTCAATTTCATTACTTTCTTCAAACCAAGCATCCAGTGGTAGGAAAGGCACAATTATTATAGACGATCAATGTTTACATAGAATATCTTTTCAAAATAAAAACAGTCGCCCGTTTTAAATAAACAAAATATCACGATTCTGTTGAAATAAAAAATGATTTGAATGGTTTGAAAATGTAACTCTGGTAAATAAATCGGATGTGAATGGAATTTTAAATGAGCATGATAAAATACACTTGTTTTTATTAGTCAAAATTGCGTTTGAAATGCTTTTGAGATCACTTTCACGTATAAACACTAAAGAAAAAAAACAAACAACTGTCTGTTTTATCTTAAATAAAAGTTTTTTGCTTGCTTTTGCCAATATTTTAGGTCAGATGCACAGTGCAGACGAATTATGCGAGATGCAGTATGGCCCAAATTTTCACTTCCGTAATTTTTACTTTCTTGGGGTAAGAATATCATTTAATATTACATTTTCATCAGTGAAATACTGTAATTTATTTAATGAATAAAAATGATATCCTGTCACATAACGAAGAGTGTTGTAATTTCCTTAAACTGTTATAATATATAGAAAGAGTAAATAAATCATTCTGACAGATAATAAGACTGCCAAAATGTCTCAACTATGACGTCATTTAGCGTATGACTGTATATCATATTACAAAAGGACAAATAGGCAAAGGGAAAATCAAAGAAAATGTAATAAACAGAAAATTCAATGTTTTGTAGTGTAATATGGAATTTATTTCACTCATGAGACAGGATCTTTAAATATTTTCATTCGTGCTTCGCACTCGTGAAAATAAAAAGAAAATATGTCCCATTCGTGAAATAAATTCTATATTCAACTACAAAGCATTGAATATCCTCTATTTATTTTACTGCGACAAATCTAGAATAACGGAATCTTATATATAAATATTAACTTGTAGTTCATATGTTTTGATTTCTTTGAGGATTGCGACGCTTTATATAGCTGTGCAGACTTGAACGAAGGAAATTTATTTGGACAAATGATTACGTCATCATCGCACACCCTTAATGGAATATATTGTGGAACAGGCAAAGTAAGTCCTGTACAAATTTATACTGAGAAATAAGGCCTTTCTAACTTTCGTGCTGTATATAGCTATATATCACAGCATTAAAGCGGTCTTTTTTGAACAGATATGTTTCAATCGGAGATGCGCGACATTTGAAGAGGTCAAAATGAAACCAGGTGTTGTCAGGCCCGGGGGTTGGGGACAGTGGGCAAATTGGCAGCCCTGCTCCAGGACTTGTGGGACAGGGTTAACCTACAGGAGGAGATTCTGCAACAATCCAAGGTTTTAATTCGTGGGGGGGGGGGGGGGGGCTAAAAATATAGTTTGATATCTTTCTCTTTTTTCAAAGTCTTTCAATGTTCTTAAATGTTGTACCTGTATCTCTCGACATGAGATTAAAGTCCATTGAGCACTATATAACAATTTTACGGTATTCATTTGTTTATCTTTCTTCTATTCTAAAGTACTAAGTATACAATGATTCAAAAATGGGTATGTTACCAAATTATCATGTGACTAATTTCGCGGTTACTTGCACTTAGTATATCAAGTTCAAAATTTTCAACATGATACTAGTACATTGAAACCATGGGCACTTGTTTCAAATATATTTTTTTAACCCATAGTATATGATAATAACACTAATACTATGAGTTAAAAATATTATTTTCGAAACAGGTGTGTCTGTAATGAAAACATTTTGTTTTACTCCAGTCCTTTGAACCATCCTGGCTGTGAAGGCGGAGATGACAATGGATATGAAGCCAGGACTTGTAATCCTGAGGTTGGTTAATAATATTGACACGTCCTTGCAATGGATGATTTTTTTTAAAATCAGTTCTTTGAATCTAATACAGTTAAGAGGTTAAACTTGCATCTTATAAACTAACACATATATTGGATAATCTTTGACAATTTAATTGAAGCCCTGCCCCAACGACAGTTCCGACATAAACACGCTTATAAATCAGCGGGCGTCTGAAACCTGCAGTAGATTGTTAAAGAATAAAGTATTAGACTCTACAAAGTACACCTCGGTTGGAAGGAAAATGAACTCTAATGGTAAGATAGAGATCTGCTTAATTTGCATCAACTGCCTTGTCGGTAATTACACTTAAAATTTTAAACGAAAAAGTGTACCCGCCACCTAGCTATGATATTAGAATGGCTATTTGGCATTTTATTATCAATTGCAGTTAAGTGCGCCGTTTCATCACGTCACGATCTTTTTCCACAGATGCACCCAACGTAAACAATTCACGCCCCTGCTGTGCCATTGGTCACATCATTTTATCAACATGTACATTAACTGCAATTCATAATATTTACAATGCAATTTTGAAAAATGAACAAAATTTCGTTCAAGAGAACATAACAAATTTTTAAGAAATGGATCTCAAAATACCATTGTAGGGCATATGAAATGCGAGGTGTCATGTGCTGCGGTGTCGGGATATACTACGCCTTCTTTTACAAGGTTTGGCTTAATGCCCCAAGGTACCCCGTGCGGAGGGCCCGCTGAAAAGAGCTACAGATGTTTGGACGGCTATTGTAGGGTAGGGATAAATTTATTAAATTATAAAAACGTTTGTTTACTATTGCCTACCCACCAAAAAAATGGGTTTTTTCAAAAAATAATTAAACAACTCACATGTGCAGCCCTGGTCAACCCACTTGAAAAAAATTTTAAATCGACATCCACAAAGTCTTACAATTTTTTCCTAAGCTTCAAGCAAAGACAAACAATGTTTATACCTGCCTTTCGCACAGTTGTATTATTACATATTTAATTATAGAATTTTATTCTGGTTGTAAAAAACATTTTTGATTAAATTAATCTATACTGTATAACCTTACTGTTTTGTCACAACAACTTGCGTTAAAACTTATCAATCTGCTTAATTTTGTAAAATTAAAAGTCATAATTGAGATGAAATTGTCTTTTGTCTTACACTTAGTGGAGACAGCAAAATTACAAGGAATAACCTTAATATAGCTACAAATATTATATCGTATGACCTGCTTTGGGACGGTTTACGTTATTTTGTAAACCGCAAGAATGAAACGGTTTAGACCAAAAAACGTTGTTCCAACCCATGCAGGTTATATACCTATAACTTGGGTAGCTATATAAAGTTAATCCCTTAAGTTACCAAGAAGATATACACTGTACTAGTTTTGCATGTACTTACTGGTTTTTTTTTTGTATTATATAAACCTTAGTTTTTTGGTTGTAACGGAGAGCTCAACGGTATATATGACATCTGCGGTGTTTGTAAAGGAGATAATTCTACGTGTAAAGTAAATGGAGTGTATACGGAGAGAACAGCACGAGGTACGTCTGAGATACCATAAAGGACTTAAGTATTTCAAATATTACGAAATCTTTTTCTTTCTCTGTTGTTTATAGTGCTAAGAACAGTGGTGAGGTTTACTAAGGTATAAGAAGTATTGAACAGGATAAATGAAAAATAAAATCAAGATAAACAAACAATTCTATGTCACAAAAACTAAACAATAACAATCTGTGAATAAGCATAGTAAACAAGGGTCCGCCGTCATAAAACTTTGAGAATTCTCAAAAAAAAATTCTCAACTCAACTCTTGAGAATTACTCAGCTGAGTATTTTAGAATAAAAGAGTTTAAGGTATTTTTATTTTTCTCATTTTTATGAGACTGAGAATTAAAATTCTCAGACTTGAGAGCAATTTCAGACTTAAGCATGTTTTATAACAGCGGACCAAGGAGACCTGGAAACTCGTGAGGTGGGATTAGGCGCATGCCTAAGAGGAATAAGTATTCTCTGACCGCCCACTCTTGCTGAGAGCCCTACGTATTTAGCAAGTAGACAGAACATTTCGTGATCAAAGAGGGTGTTGCAGTTCTTTTGTTATTTTCCCTAAATGTGTAGCAGATTAAAAGAAGAATTTTTACGTTGCAGAAACTCGTATTAATTTTTTTCAAATGCAACAATGTATAAAGCACAACGAGAAACAATATTTGGAAAGTGTGCATTGACTTCCAATTTGCCATTAAATGATGTGAAAATTAGTCGTACGGCAAAATATAGCAGATTTTCCGTTTTTTAAATAGTGAATCCCCATTGTTCTGAAAAAGTGCCTCCTTGAAACAAATTAATTTTGATGTATGCACAAAGAGGCAGGAATTTTCTTCAAAACTGCCATTTCCGATTTTTGTTTCAAAGAGGCACATTTTTGAAAAACGCAAAAATTGAATAAAATTTATTATCCAAACGAAATGTAAAATGTGTACTTTAAATAACTCCGTATATCCATCGTGTCCGAAATGGTCTACTGGAAATGCTGGTGGGCTTCCAACTAGTACTTTTACCAGAGAATGGGTTCGAATCCTGGTATGGATAATTTTTGCGTATTTTTTTTTTTCCATATGTAATGGTAGTGCAACGAAATTATATATTTTTTGAAAGAGAGGTGGGGGAGGTATCAAGAAGTTAATTGAGTAATAACTAATCTATATATTAGAAATGCAGGATTAAATTGTTTTCCTTGATATGCTGTGACTTAAAACTAATGCTTGATTTAGTTTTGTCTTGGAAAAAAAGTTACTGAATTGTTTAAATAATATATATATTTAAATACTGTAGTTATGGCAATCTTGGTCTCTTGGTTAGTAGCCAAGATTTGATGTGAAACAAATAAAATGTCTTGGATGTAGCACCAACAGTGTGATCATGGGACGCAGTTTTATTTCATGAAAAATATTTTCGCACGATGTCTACATATATATATGTATATCTTTCAAAATGTTGTTGTAGCCATTGTGCTTTTTGTTCTTCCAACCTCTTTCGTGCAAAACGACGAAAGTGTTTTGCTGTATCAAGCAGGAAATACCCGCCGTAAACATAGTCTTCTACGTAGCTGTATCTATATTTAGACATAACGAGGGTATATAAATGTCCTTCTCGATATATAGGGAATGATCGCGAGTTTCTGCAACACCCTCTTTAATAAAAAAAAAATTAAATGCTTAACATTTAGAATGCAACAAACAAGCCAAAACACAACCAAGTGATGAGTTACATCTGCTAGCAAAATTATTTTAACGCTTACAAAATTTACAAAATATTGGCCCTAAACTTGACGTCTTCACTTTCTCAAATTAGTTGTTATCTTATTAACTGTGTTATAATGAATTATTTTAATTGTTTTCAGGTACAAGGAAGACAATTACAGAGATACCCGCTGGAGCTATTAACATACGTTTTTGGTTTGACTGGCTAGGAGTTATGAGGGAAAACTATGTAGGTAATGGATTTACATTTGTCGTAACCTGGCAAACTTAAATAAGCAAGCACTGGAAGCAGAATCTTAAAATACACCAGAACATTCCCAGAACTGATACCTACATAATAAAACTTTTTTTGCAGACTATCATGGTCTTTATTCTAACATTATCATCTAAGATTATGCTTTATTATTTCGATTTACTCTCATAGTTCCAGTTTTTTTTAATGAATATTAAATTCTACTAAATAAGTTAAGTTACATGATACACGATCGGCAATCTTATATTTATTATATCCTATTGTTTACAACAGACATGTACTAAATTCTCAGAATTCTAATCTGAGGACATGTATTTTCAAGTACAATGAAGCGCATTGAATTGGTAAAATGAGCTATCTTTAGACACGCCTGCCTATTTCTTTAGAAAGGAAAAATCGGTCAAATGAATCAATCGAATACCTGTAGAACAGGTATTCGATAAATATAATAGCCAATCAAATTGGCGATCTACATAAACACCGAGAAAGCACGTGTTCAGTGCACTTCATTGTATGCTAACTCCAATAAAAATGATAAAATCATAATTATGTACAAAATCGTTGCAATGCGTGTTTTACAGAAGCGGAGACTCTATATATAGCTCTTTCATATTTAAAAATCTTCATTTCAGTGTAACTCATGTTGCTTGTCGCGGAAAGTAGGGTGTCCTTAAACATTACGACGGCTATTTCTTTCTCGTTTCTAAAGAAATGGGCGTGTCATTATGTTATAATTGACGCTCAAAACATGACTCAGAACGTTTCATCCAAATGAAAAATTTTACCACTTCAATGTGCTTCATTGTAATTTGATACTAGTACTTACCTTGCAAAGTAAATCATCATTATATAGTACAATGAATTCATCTGCATTTGTCTCAGAAATGTACAACAAAGATGGACTGGTAATTCTGTCCAGCTTTAAACAATGGATATGGGATACGACAAAGAACCCCACAAATTTCGCGGGTACATATTGGAATTATACTTGGTGGCGTCAAGACCTGTACGCTAAAGGGCCCCTCACAGAACCTGTCATCATTAAGGTACATGTACACTAGTTTTCTTCAGTCCAAAGAGGATGGACACAAATTTAACTATAACTATTATTTACTGATGGAAACAAAGTAAACCAACTGTTATTCACAACACAAATATATATACGCGACTATTAGTTTTCATGACTGTGGTAACATTCTACATAAATAGATATAATTCATGGTAATTAAAGTAATTAATGTTTGATATGCTCTCAGATGTTTTGAATGTTGTTTACACCTGTTACAGTGCATATTGAAATACGACATTCACTCATATTTTCAGCACTACAGACATGGTGACAAGAATAATACTGGCATTAACTATACGTATACTGTACCAAAATCTGGTAAATGGAAAAATAAAATATAAAACTTAAAGACAGTAGAGTGAACATTTTTGTAAAGAAGTCATTGCTTTTTTTTCATACATACATACCGGGTTTACATTTATAATTAATTTTCTTTAGTTCGATATATATATATTATCATTATCATGTTGAAAAGTCTACTATTATACTTACAATGATATTAATATAATAAAAGTCGGTTACTCCTATGTATATATTTTACTTTTTTTTCCATTTGAAGCTAAGACTTGTCAAGGACAGTGCGCTAATGGTGGAACATTTAACACAAAGATCTGCTCATGTGACTGTCCTAGTGGATTTTATGGTGAGGCTATAGGTTATGTTTATGTTTTCTTTTTATGTGATGGTAAAAATTCATCTTTGGTTATTGTTGACAACATTCCTTGGCTCAAGAAAATTAAATTCTAGCAGTATCGTATCGCCATTAGATTAGAATCATCTTACACTACATGTATATATGGTGAAAAATTCGGCATAATTTTCAAAAAAATGCAATAGATACATAATAGCCAGTTCAGGTAGATAAAATACAATTTATAAACACGGAAAAATCAGAAATTGGATATAAGATTTTTTTACAACTTTTTGCCAAAGAGGCCTTTTGAGACTTAATATTAATTTGCACCTCTGGCTTTAATGATACAACTGAAAATACCGGACTCAAACACAGAACACATTAAAATGATAAAAGAGGGTAAATGTTATCATATTAAATTTAAGGAATATATTTCAAATATTTCGTATATGAAAATGAATTTCGCTGAGTATCGCAACTGATTTCTAAAACAGGACCGGAGTGCACCAGTCGTTGTAACATATACTGCTTCAATGGTGCAACAGTTGATCAGTCTAACTGCGCATGTCAGTGCAAGGAGCACCAGACCGGAAGTCAGTGTAAATGTGAGACAGGATACGGCGGCGAAGACTGTAAAACGAAAATTTAGGATACACTTTTTGATAAAGATACATGTATCATTGAAAATAAAAGGTATTTTCTACTGCTCTTTTGTTTCTTTTTTATGTTAATTATGATTTTCCTTGACAGGTAGATATTCACCAGCCAATTAACTTTATTCTGTACCATATTTTGCTGAAACCACTTGAAAAAAGTCACATAAAGAAATGAGCAAATGAAAAAGTTGTAAAGCTAGGAAGGGACTAAATTTTTCTTGCTGTCCAGTGAAACCCTCCTTGAACCCTATACATTGACTTTAGACAAGGATTTTTAAAGACATGTAACATCGACAAATCTGTTGGTAGCCTGTCTTAAAAATTGATTGTGAGCATGCTTTTGAATATCGAATAAGTTGGAGATAGGAATATTGTATGCGGGATGGCAGGAAAATATTAAATATGAGAAAAAAAAATTGGTGGAAAAGCTGATGGCATCTCGATAATATATGTATTCAAAAAATGCTGTTCAATAAATAATACAACATAGAAATTATATGACATTAAACTTGACTTTGAAAGTTTCTCTCTTGATTTGTCTCTAATGCCAAATTGTACAATGACGAGTACGAGGGCTGTTCAATAAATAATGTCGTGAGCTCTATGACATACAACAAACAAATCATATGACATTTAACTTGATTTTCTCTCATGATGGAATCTTTAATGAGGTGATAACAGTTTATATGACCACCTTTCATCACACAGTTCCATTGTTAGAAGCTGGAAAACAAAGGCTATTCTAGACACTGCATTTAATTAATAGTCAAGAATCAGTAAACAAGAGTTAAATTAAACCTCCATTTAAGTTGCTGTTAAACTTGTTAAGAATCCGGAAGATAATATATATGAATAAATTAAATTTACAGCAACCAATGTCTGTTTTATACACATTTGAGCAGGTGGATTTCAATGAACAAAAATTGTAAAATGAGCGTCAAAAATGGGTACTGTCCTTGGCGACAAAGACATATAACAACCAATGTATAATTCCGAAAATTCAACAAATTATCACTGGGTATTTTTTATTGACTTTAATCACATAGCAATTTGACATCATTTTGGGGGTTGTTCTCCATTAAACATGAAGTTGTTGAACTTGAGAACATGTTCAAGGAGCTTAGCAAGGGACTCCGTAGAAGGAACTTGTATGGATCTACTATCCCAGACTTCTCTACAGGCTTCGATACCCTCATCGTGCGGAATATTGGTGTACAAAGATGTGACGTCCATAGTCACGAGGAGGGTATGATCTGGGAGGCCAGTAGAGGGCGTCTTGTTAATGTAGTCCGTAGTGTCCTTAAGATAGGATGGCAAACTTTCTACGTGTGGACGGAGATGTAAATCAATGAATTCAGAAATTTTCTCCGTGGGGTGTCCAATTGCGCTGACTATGGGGCGACCTGGCATGCCTTCTTTGTGTATTTTAGGAAGCAGATAGAATTGTCCTGGTCTACAGGCAACAGGATTTAAGGTCTCAAAGACGTTGATACCAATCTCATTTTTCTCAAACATGTCGTCCAGAGTTTTGGTAATGGCGGTTGAGAATTCTTTAGTAGGGTCAGAGTCCAGTTTCTTATAGAAACGTTCGTCTGAGAGTTGTCTTTGGGACTCCGCCATGTAAGTCTCTTTATCCATTACTACAACTGTAGAGCCTTTGTCTGCTTTCTTAATTACAATGTCATCCCGATTTTTTAATGATTGTAAGGCACATCTCTCCTCCTTACTCAAATTGTCGGGAGTTTTGTCTGGCATTGAAAGGAGCTTCTCTATGTCTGACTCAACGGCATCAATATACGACTCAAGAGCGCCGCACTTGCCCGGTGTAAAATTTTGTATTTACTGCCACCCGGTAAATTCAAAATTTACAACATGACAGTAGGTTCCCAGGCACTCTTTGGCTTATAGAGTTTGTGTTCCTCTAGGTCCTGTAAATCTGGCTTGGAAGAGTCGTATGAATTTGCTTCGGAGTCTTTTCTAGAGAAGTGCTCCTTCAAACGAAGTCTCCGAAAGAATGCTCGGGTGTCCTCTCTGGACAACCCATTACCTAACGGGGGCTTTAAAACTTGCTCTGACAGGAGATGTCTTCTTTGTAAGCACAGCACTGGCACAGACAGTTTTAACAGCCCTGTAACAGGCCGCAGCTACAAAATACTAGGGAATTTGTCCTGTCATACTGACAGCTGCATTTATCTCATCAATTGCAAAGTTTGCTCCAAACAGTATGTTGGTGAAACAGGAGATCTCCGTAGGAGAGTCAATAACCACCGTTCGACCATTAGGACCAAAAAACTCAATGAACCCGTTGGGGAACATTTCAACCTTGAGGGTCACAAATGGGAGGACATGACAGTAGTGGTGATTGACCATAACCCAAGATGGACAGATGCTCAGAGGAAAAGCAAAGAAAAGTTCTGGATGCACAGATTGAAGTCATTCCGCCCAAATGGTATTAACAAATTGAATGACTTCACCAGAATGAACGTAAATTAGACCCAATTCCTGATCATACTAAACAAAATTATTCTCTCAATTTAGTGTAAACTCTACAGTTAATTTGTGCCACCAACTCTCGAACTCGAACAACCACATAACTAAGTATTGCTTACGCCTTTGTTAATTATTTTTTCCCGATAATAAGTCCTTAAATATTTCAAAATTTATAATTGATCACAATTCATATGTTTAAATATCCCTACTTTATGATTCTTCTTTCATTATTCTTTATTAAGTAAAGTTACGCCATTTTGAGAGAATGAAATAACGTACGATTTACTGATTGTCGTAATTAATTAGCATAATTAATTCGTTTAATTATGTAAATCGCACTTCACCCGAGTATACCCGATAGACCGGACGCATTTCATAGCGGTCCGAATTTCTTTCGTTATTAGTGTTCTTTAAAATTTCCAACTCAACATGTAATTAAGTATGTAAATATCTAGTGTTTAGTAGTTTAGTAGTAGTGCTAGTTGTTTTTGTTTCTCTTTTTCCTTTGTTCTTATGACTTTTTAACTTTTTTCTTTGTCCTGAGGAAGGGACAGGGCGTCCCGAAAATTTGACAATTTTTATTGTTCGTGTCGTTGGTCATTTTTAGTGCTATATATATATATATATATATATATATATATATATATATATATATATATATATATATATATATATATATATATATATATAAAGCACTAAAAATGACCAACGACACGAACAATAAAAATTGTCAAATTTTATATATATATGTATTCTAAGAATGTATTTTCTACGCTTTTTTACTCTTAAACGATAAATAATTCTTCTATCGCTGATTTCATTTCTGAAATTTGCATAGCAAATCCGACATTAGAAAAAAAGTAATTTCATCTCCGAAAATTTTTCTTTCATTTCCGACATTTATTTAATTTCATTACCGGAATTTTTGCAAGGTGTCTTACCGACAACCTTAATGTTACCAAGTAGGTGGAAATGGAATTTTAAAGAATTTACTTCATAGAACATTTTCAAATATTAATAAATACATCAAAATCCTGCATGTATATGAATCTGTGCATGTAGCTTTAAGTCTAGTTAAAAGAGTTTAATGTGAGCATGCAATTTTTTCATCACATTTAATGTTCACTAAATTAAATAAATGTTGATGACTGCATGCACCGATCTTATATCCAAGACATTTAAAATATTAATACTGTGTAGAATTTATTCTTTAAAACTTTTTCATTAGTGAATTTTTCAATCCTGCTTTCATTACCGAAAAACTGAACACTACATAAAAAGTGTCGGAAATGAAAACTGTAAAATGTCGGAAATAAAAACTAAAAAAAAAAAATGTCGGACATAAAAAGTTGAAAATCTTAAAAAATTCCGGAAATGAAATACAGCCTCTTCTATTTTCTTTATTTGTTATGTAATACCGTACAAATTTCGTATATACTGTTCTTGTTTTAATTTTCAAATAAAAATCAGTGAATAACTAAATTGTAAAAAGCTTGCGCTATTATTATAAGACATAAATGTCACTTCTTATTTCATATCATGCTAATGGGCAAGCATTGGTACATGTATCAATCGCTAGATAGAAATTGGATTTCTAATAAAATGTATTTATTTCTGTAATTTTATGGGGTCCAGTCTCCATTTTTCACAAGAATGTTTCTAACAAAGCAGAAAACATCATTTTATTTGAAAGGGTCAATATTTTTGTTGTATCTTAAGAAAAAGGGAGCTTAGAGAGTTGATTCTGCAAGTGGTAACCCATCTTATATTTCCCTTACTAACGAGGAAACTCTTCTTAGAGAGATGTCAGATTTAATATTCTTCAAAATCAAAATTTTAATGACTATTGTTACAACCAACTTTTTTTCAATCAAAGAGTGCGTTAAATTTGCGACCCAGTCAATTTAAATTACAAAAATCTAAGTCCAGAATTTTGGTTTTAAACACTTTTTTTCAAAGCTAGTGCGTTAAGTGTCTCCGTTGTAGAAAAAATGTTGATGTACACACTTACCGCACGTGAAAAAAAATTCAATGTGCTTTGTTACAACGCACTTTGAAGAATTACGCACTTTCAAAAAAATTTTCAAAGTGCGTTGATTTTGAATCAATTTTAACGCACTTTGAAAATTTTTTTCAAAGTGCGTGATTTTTTCAAAGTGCGTTGCCACACTGCGTTGTTTTGTCCCATAATTTTTTCAAAGTGCTTTGCCACAATCCATACCTATCCTTACAACCAGAGATATATACAAGTTACAGTAGAGTACTCTGACCTCAAAAAAAAAAGGATAGCCGACAATTTAAGACCGAGATATTATAATGTAATTTTTTCCCGACCAGTTTTACTATGCGCGTTTCATATAGAGGTGTATACTTTTTAAAACTCAGATGAGGGGTGCCTGTGATCTATAGTAATGTGCTGTTACTGTAATCCACCGGGCATGGTCCATAACCTCTACTCAACTCTATACGAAACGCGCATAGTAAAACTAGTCGGGAAAAAATTACATTATAATATCTCGGTCTGGTCGGCTATCCTTTTTTTTTAGAAAAATTCTAAACAAAGCAAAAAAATCAGATAACAACATTTTATTGTAACATAGTTTAAAATTCTAAAAAACGGTTGATGCAGAGTTCATAATCAAGGTGCTATGGCTCAATACTTCATCTTCTGTATTTACGGCTCTGTGGTGCTTTGTGAGCTTGGCTCTCCATGTTGTTCAGTCTGAAATCAAATTATAAAATGTAAATATCTTTTTTATATTTCTTTTTAAGGCACTTGCAACTAAAACAAAAATAAATTGGGGTAAAATAATTATTTATGGTACCTGATGCTGAACATGTCGGTGTGGAAATTCAGCCACTTGCCCAAGCTATACTGTTCCCGGGAAAGGGCGCTTAATTTCAAAGCTGCAATGAAATTGTCAAGCGATAATAATAAAACGCCAAGTAAAGTAAAATTTCAATCCCATTGTTATATGAACTAATGATAAGTGTTTGATTTTTACGTATATATGAGTTTCTTTGTGCAGGAGCCATACTCACCTAAGAGTTTCTCGGCTTCCTCGGCGTCGTTCATATAAGCTGTTAAAATCAGCCTCATCTGTATGTTTTCTGAAAATGTAATGAAAGAAAAGTTAAACACTTATACCATATTTAATTAATTTTTTGTTGTATAAAATGTGAAATGCTACTGTAAATTACAAATGCACGAAATGTACAAAGAATATTTAAAAAAATTAACCTTCTGCAAGATCTGCCATTTTTCTTTTGAGGCCTTGCATTGAAGTGTAGAACTGACGAACAAACTGAGCACAACGAACAAACGAAACAACAAAGAGCAAAAAGGCCAGAAAGAAGAGCAGATCTGTTGCCGAGAAGTAAGACAGAGCAGCAGCAGAAGTGGTTGTGGTAAAGCTGTAAACACTCTCACCGAGCGACAGCAGCTCACGCTAAGAGAAAGTTAAGAAAGAGAGAGTTAGAAAGTTTACAGACTGAATGCTAGAACACAAACATAATAAAACAAATAACACTGAATACATATTCCAGTTAAAAACTTACCCCTAATGTGGCACCCATCTCCTGACTAACCTGCCCTATATCACGACCAAACCTGTAAACAAAACAAAAGGCGTTGCCAAGGACGCTCTTTTGTGAAACAACAAATAATTTGACGTTATTTATCAAAATATTTTATCATGTTTTATTTTCAATTACTTACTTATACATGTCTAGATGCAAGGCACGGCCTGTTGATGACAGAAATGTACCAAGAATGGCGGACGATCTGATGATCTTGGAGGTTTTCATTTTGCGTCTCTCTTCCTCTAATTCGTTAATTGCAACTGATGCTGAATCCTAGAGCTCTCGTGCTTATATACTTTCCAGGAAAATATGCGTGCAGACGATTGGCTCATTTTTGCTCGTGTTGATTGGTTCTCAAAAACTGAGTTATCCAATGAGTGAAAAGCGGCAAAACGTTGCACTCACGTCAAAAAACAAGATGGTGTTCGATTTTGTGCTTCATGGTCTACAGTGTTTTGCAAATAATGTTTACTTCTTACAAATTCATCATAAATGATTGCATTAACTGGAATCGTTAATTAATCGTTTCTTTGAAAATACCCATTGATGAAGCAAATATCATGCTTATGTTTTAAAATTTCATAAAACAACTGTCCAAGAGGCCCAAAGAAACCTTTTTGCCATATTTGGGAATGTTTCCTCTATAAGTCTCACAAATTAGCATTCATTTTCTGGCATATATTTATCAAATACAACTTAAAAAACAATATTTTACAAAAAATTAACGTTTTATTCAAAATTATTGTCATAAATAGCATATTGCTCTCCCATGGAGGAACACGGGAGAGCTTGAATTTGATGTCGGAACGACAATTAGTTAGTTACCTTTTTATACACAAATATTCTTAATCCTAACATATCCTTTCATCGTGCAGAGTAAAAAAAAATCCATATGCATAAACACGGTATTGGGTTAATGTAAATATCCTTGTTCAGCGTGAAGTAACTTTTTGTTTACAAATAGGCGTTACTATGACGTCATGACGACGCCTCTTTGGCGGGCCTTATGCAGTATCATTTGAATATTTTCAAGAAGAACGTGCTTTATTTGAAGTATCTCATGGTTTTCTAATAAAAATCAGATATTACTTGGTAAGAAGACGTATTCTTCACCATTGAAAAGGCCTATTTTATGAAACTTTCGATGCAAAAGCCCCTTCTCTAAATATCAATATAAAAATAAGATTTATTCAAATGTGTGTGGCAGTTAGCAATAAGCAGCTGACAGTTGGCAGTCAGCAGTTGGCAGTAAGCAGTTGGCTGTCGTATATGGCATTCCATACTTCTCTGATTTGCATTGGAAATGCACATTTTTTCTCTTTTATTTCTTTGAATTTTGTCAATTTTTTTTTCTTCTTCTGTTTGGCAAGTTAAACTTTTTTAAACTTCAAAGAAACTTGAATATTTAAATATCAAATGAAAATTGTTGCACGAAAAGATTTTAATTTCAATTCAGTTTCATTTTGAAACATGTGTTTTAAGGGGGGACCTATGTCCGAAAAGTCTTTGTGTGAAATTTTCAAAACTTTGACATTTCTTTCATGACCACTTGCTCTTAATTTTTAGGTAATAAAAACAATACCTTTATATGCTTATTTTTACACAGGAGCACGTGCAAAAACAGTGTGAAATGCTAGAAACAGATTATTTTCAGACATTGTTGTACTACCCCAAATATGCGTTAAAAAGAATCAAAAATGTCAAATCACATTCAAAATCAACAGGTATTTAAATCATTTGACTTGTATCTTTAAAATGAATGCAAATTCGCTGTAATTCATCTCGCATGAAAAATTATTATGGAGCTCAAAGTAAGTATTACCCCATTTTTCTTGTTGTATTTTTTACAATTCCGACATGCATAAAAGGTAATATCTTAAAAAGTCTTTGTGTGGAAATGTTGTAGTTCATATTTTTTGAAAGAAATGAATTATCTCTTTATTTTAATCAAGAAAAAAGTATACCTTTATGATAAAATAAACGAGAAATATGACGTTTTCCTTTATTTTCGTACTCTTGTGTCATAAATATTGACCTTTCTGCACTAAGACAAAGGTAAATAAGCACTGACAAACATCTGAATATAAAACCATTTTGCGGAAAACAAGTATTTTGTTTTGATTAGCAACAATTTACGCTTATTTAATCTTTTCTTTTTGATTCTATACAATCATTCTGCCCCCCCCTTCCCCGTCAAAAACCAAACACCTATAATATTTAACCTAGGAATTACTTTATACAATTTAATTTAAATGTACTAATCAAAAAGCAAATATAATTTATGTACAAGTGCATTTCTTAATTTTTTTTCTTAGTTTATCGAGAAAATATATACAATTAATGGTAAACAAAAAACTAAACATATTTCCCTGATTTAAGCTGCTATCTTTGCTGAATTTTATCTTATCTTTTTGCATGTTTATATCAGCATAATATCGAGGTATTTTTTCATAACTGAAATTGCTATGAATTATCAACCAAAAGAAGAGATTTCTAATATTAACAAACTCCATTTATCAAATAAAACTGCTATTAATGATGTATAAATTTTCTTTTTGTAAATTGTGTACGTCATTGATTATTCACAATGTTAAGCCTATATCACAGTTGCAGAATTCTACAGGTAAAAACAAACGTCGCTATTGTGACGTCACATAACGCTGCTTTGACGTAGAACGACATAGGTCCCCCCTTAAATGAAATAATTTTTTTAATGTATTTTTTAAATAAAGAACGTTCTTTAAATCTAATTTTAAATACAACTGTTCTAAATAGCATGATGATATCTTTTAAGTAAAGAACGTTCTTCAAATAGATCTAATTTTGAATACAACTGTACTAAATAGCACGATGAATCGAGTTTGTATGCAAGTATAAGTGGGAGCGTAGCGGGAACGATAACTCTGGATAGAGATTGGTTTGTATGGTGTAAATAACATCGGGATCGGAATTTGCGCAATATTGAAAACAATGGCGGGAAGTATGGACGACTTCGATGAAGAAGGAGACGATTTGTTGGCTTCGTTCGTCGAAAACAAAGATGGTTTGTGTATTATTTGTGTAT